AAGTCTGCCTTTCTATAGAAGTTATAATTGACAGTTACTTTCCCAGCCTGCCCTGCCGCCAGGCTGCACAAGCTCAGGTTCTGCCATTCACAATTTGGATCAAAAGCCAGTGGTAAGGAGAAACAGGCCCTTGGGCTAGAAAACACTAGGGACAGGGATTGGAGGCAGCTACATCCATGCTACAGAGATTCATGAAAATAAGAACAGTTTATATCAAAACTGAAGCTACACTCAGGAAATTTATAGGTGGTTGCACATCTGGTGTCCAGCCACAGTAATCCTTGTGGCATCAACTACACTCTCTGTACTTAGTCATTGTGACAGAGGCTTCTTCACTGGGCTATGTCTGGGGTGAGCTTTGGGGTACCATCACTGGCTGTGTAGCCCCCAATGCTGGTTCTCTGCCCTTCCTGGAGATCACGGTGCCCCCTGACATTCTTTATTACACACTTTTCAAGCATAGACAAACGTACAGAGAATTGCATAGTTATCACCTTGTAACCAATGACCCGGCTTCAACAATTATCAACAAGAGGCTTAATCCACCCACTTAAAAATATATATATTCTAGTCCGGATGCAGTGGCTCACGCCTATAATTCCAGTACTTTGGGAGGCTGAGGCAGGTGGATTGCCTGAGCCCAAGAATTAGAGACCACCCTGGGCAACACGGCGAAAACCCCGTCTGTACTAAAAATAAAAAATTATACGGGTGCAGTGCTGCACACATGTAATCCCAGCTACTCGGGAGGCTGAGGCAGGAGGATAGCTTGAGCCCGGGAGGTGGAGGCTGCAGTGAACTATGATCGCACCACTGCACTCCAGCCTGGGCGACAGAGCAAGACCCTGTCTCGAAAACACTAAAAATAAAATTATATACATACATACATATATAGAGAGGTCAATGTGTTCAGTAGGACAGGATAGTCAGGGCTGGGCTCACTGAGAAGGTGGGATTTAAGGCCTGAAAGTAGGATGGAGGAGTCATGCCGAATCGGAGAGAGCATTCCAGGCCTTGGGAACAGTTAACAGCAAAGGCCTGGAGGTGGGAATGTGTCTGGATTGCCAGCTGTGCAGCACAGAGGTCAGTGTGGCTGGAGGCGAGCAGATGAGGGTGTGGAGGTGAGGGCACAAAATCGTGGGAAGCCTCGGGTTTTCCTCTGAGCTGGATGAGACAGTAGGGCTTTGTCAGTCAGCGTGGAAGGAAGTGGGTTCTAACTATCACCAACAGATAAACTGGGGATAGGGCGCAGCGAAAGCTTAGTGGCCCCTGTTGGGAGAGCTGGGGGCGCCGTGAGCCTGCAGCTAGAGGCGGTGCTTGGTGTGCGGCTTCAGCACGGTGGACAGCGCCATAGGCGTTGCCTGGAGACCAGGAAAGCGGCCGATCAGGGGGCGGAGCCTGCGTAAACGTCCTATGAGAAGCGGCGCGCTCCACGCAGTGGCACACTCTGTGAGGGCGGGGCCGGCGAGTGCGGCCAATTAGAAGAGTTTGTTGCCGGGCGTGGTGGCG